GGTTAGTTTTAGTGTTTGGGGGTTTTTCAGTTTCTTTTCAATCTTTGTTCAAAATCAGGTACAAATTTTAAAAAATTCTAGGGAAGCGATGTTCTGCTCCAGTGTAGGGACTGTTCTCGGTCTCTCTCGCCTCTGGCTTTCATAGTCTTAGATTCTACCCACCAGCTTTCCTTGCCTCCCTTATTCTACAGCCTCTGCAAGCAGTGACTCTGTTCTCAGATTTTTACTATGTGAAACAACAGAGGAAGAAAAAAACATGTAAAGAAAGTCATTTATTTTGTCTGAATTATTTTCTTTGTTGAAAAATTTAGATGTAGAGCTACTGGACTCAGAGATTTTATTTTTAACCTTTTAAGACAGATTCTCAGTATGCAGTCTTGCTTGGCTGTCCTTGATTACGTGTCAATCACTCCCTCTTAGCCATCTATGTGCTGAGATTACAAGCATGTACCACCCTGCCCAGTGCAATGATTCTCCTTCATACCATCATTTATAACCTGGCCAATTTTCCACTGCCATTATTTACCCTTTACCACACAAAAGCTAATAATTTTCCTAAATGTGGATTCTACATGACAAAGTAGCAACTTTGACCTTACAATAGAGTATTTTACATAGACCGCCTATGCCATGGGAGGAACTGTTTGTGGCTTGGATTACAGCACGTGAAACACGTAAGTAAAATCTTCTTTATATGTATTAGTAATAGTTGTGCCGCACACCTTGAATTACATTGGAAAAGCCATTCATCCATTTAATAACCTATTCCAGAGTTGGCAGGTCGTAGTGGCACCTCACTTACTCATCTGCCTGGGTACTGGGTGGCGAGAAATGTTCTTTGTGGATCCCTGAAATCTTTCGAGACATTGTACTTCACAGCGACTTTCTTTGTCTTATCTTGATTGCTATAAACATTGGACATTACATTCAGAGAATGGTTTTAAAGTCCAGGACACTTTTTTTTGAAAAATGGATTCTTGATTCACTGTTTTTACATCTTTAATGCTTGTCTCTGAAGCCTCGCAAATACAAGAATTCCCGTTGCCTTCTGGGCTGAGCATTAAGGTTGTAGGATAAAACATTGATATCAGTTGGCTGCCCAAAGGCGGGTTCTTTTTCCATGGATCTTCACTCTGTTAAAGCGTCTTTGCTTGCTAATAGCTCTCTAATTAACTGTGTTAGGTTCTTTGTTGGGTTGTTGTTTGCTCCTACATGAAACTGTTCCTGCCATGACCATTCACTGGCAACCAGAAAGACGCCAATCACCAGTTAACACTCAGAGCATCCTTTGAAGCCATGCTGATGACTCTCTGCACAGTGGCCACAGAGCAATATGGACCATTGTTTGCTCCTGTAGGTAGGGCATGGGTAACTCTAAAAAAAGGTAAAGCCGTACATGCAGGAAAGCTCCAAGACAAGTGAATCAAAGGAACTGGCATGTCTCAAGCTGTCACCTGTATCACTGTATCCCCAGTCCTTATTAATAAGCCACTTTGATCGCAACTTAAGTAAAATTAGAGGAATTAGTGGTGAGAACACTCCAGAGCCAACGGCGTTCATTGAAGAATCAGGCAAAATCTGTCATTGGGTTTAGTTGGGGGAACATGCAAAGATATTTTTGCCCAAGAGCTGTTGCTTCTATTTTCAAAGAATTGATTTCAATAATATTTTGAAAGGATTTATAATCTCATAGGTATATACTAATTTGGGGTAAGAAGAGATATATATCGAGACCTTAGCGCAGGCAAATCCTGAAGAATGAGCAAGCGGGTACAAGAACATTAGTGAGTTTTTAACTCATGAGAATAATAATAATAATGATGAGGCTGGGGAGGTGACTCAGTTCATGGAATCTTTACCTGACATTCACAGGTACTCCTTAGAAGTTCCCCAAAGTTGCCCACTGATGGTCTCACCACCCCGCAAAGGAAAGAACAAACTAGAATGTCCATTCAAACGTGCAACGGGTTTGCAAAAAACACATCCAGTGCTTTGTAGTCTTATTTTAAAAGCAACAATAAGAGCAAACTGAGTTCACAGCACTGCCCCAAAGAGAGTTACTCTTTCTCTGGCATTTTGATTCCTCTTCGAGATTTAGTTTCATTTTCCCGTGATTTCTTGGGTGAGTTAAATAACATTTCACTCACGAGTTAAAAGGGGTCAGTTTGGGTCTTGTCTCAGTGCTTTGGATCTTTCTTGCTGACCTGGAATTAGTGTATGTTTTTCCGAGTGCTGCTCCAGCCACCCAGCACACTATAAAATATGTTTTCCGCTACGATGGGATTGCTGGCAGCGCATAAAACAAACGACTGGGTCAGAAACAGCCTGACTCCTCCTTTAAATGGATTCTTCTAGATGTGTGGTAGTTAGGAGAGGACTTTCAAAGTTTCTTCCGTGGAGATTTTTTTTTTTAAATCATAATTTTAACTTCCTTTTCCAGAAGGTATCCACTAACGAATCTATCCCTGGACAGCATTAGCGGGTGGGCACTTGATATCAACTTTGAGGTTTGGGCTCAAAGAACAGATCAAGAAGCTAGGAAGTTGAACTTGAATCCAGTTCTACTACAGATAGCAACCCATCAAGTGGCTGATCCTGGATTCAGTTGTAGTTCCTAGGCTCGGAAACTATTTTTCTTTTTTTCAGTGCACTCTGCCACTCTAGGCCTTCTAATTAAAAATTAGTAAAAATAGGAAAGTTAAGATTTGTTACCCCTTGATGCAAAAGAAGAATCTACGAAACCACGGATGAACACAGTAGAGATTTGTTTTCATCTGATATGACCAGCAATTTGGAGCTAGCAGCTTGGAGGTGAGGGTGCAAAATTACTATCTGATCTCCTACGGTGTTCAGGCACAGGAAGGCAGTTGTGGTTCCTGCCATCATGGCTATAACCCACACGAGAGGAAAGAAATTGTGTATCAGGAAAGCATGTGTGTCGGCAAAGAGTCGTGTCCAGAAGCAAGTTCCATGCAATCTTCACCCGTATCTAGCCTGAGTGTGTAAGTATGAGCATTTGCTAGCTCCAACAAAGTTGAGATTCTGCCAGTGAGGAAGAAACAGAGAAAACTCCACAAGCATCCACTTATGAAAGCAAGATCCATTGCAAAACTAAGAAGACAATTCCGTAGGGATATTTTGTTCCAGTGTGTACTCCTATTTTATGTTTATCAATTGAGAGTGTGGACTCATGCTGGCTGACCTATGGGCATTTTAGCTGACCATTTTCCAGATACATAAAGATGGTGTATATGAAGATCACACCCAGAAAGGATTAAATGTAAGATTCCATTGTCCTAATGCTTTTACAGTTACAGTATTTCTGTTACCTGGCAATATTCTAGAAGTTGGAGGTTGACTGCCACCATAGGTAGGTGTTAACTCAAGGTCACCAACAGCTAATTCTCAGTGTCCACCACTATACAAACAAGGAGCAATAAACACCTTGTAACTCACTAACGTCGCCTTGTAGAAGAGGCGCGTAATAGCAGACAAAGGATTTCTAATTCCTATCCACTAAATCGCTTCTGTCTATGTAACTTTCATAATAAGATCTAGGTTCCCGTGGATTTGACCCAAAGCTCCCCAGCCACTGAACTAACTAATTCATCCCAGGTTGTGCGGAACAACCACTACCGAGAAGACAATCACCCTCTGACAGGAGCTGAGTGAATCATGAGATGGAGTCAGAAAAGGAGCTGGCAGGAAAGCTGGGAAGTCATGGTGATGCGGGGGTGGGGAGTTGGAGGACCACCAGGAAAGTGTGATAACCCTACACTCAGGGTAAGGACATTAAAGGAAGCCTCAAATGATGCTTCAAAGGAGGAAGTAAGATAGCAAGACGATAGGGTTGGTTTTGTGAATGAGAAGTGCTTCTTTTGGTGTGCAGAACACTTACTGCAAACCCCCTGTAGTTTTACTCAGGTTCATATGACTTGACCATAAGGAGCACCTGCGTTATAAAAGGGCAAAATGCTACCATTCATAAATGCCCCTTCATCCCCCTTTTCTCTGTACCCCCTCCCTCATCCTCCTTTCAATCCTCCCCTTCATTGATCACTAGGTCCCCCATTCAAGCTCGATTCTGGGCACATATGTTTTTTTTAAAAAGTCACTACTGAACTTTTTACACACATCTAACTTAATGATTAACAACTTGTGGTGGTTATTTGCAATTCTCAACATAATTAGTGGACGAAGTCCCCAGACAGTTAGAGAGGCACACCTTGGGGGTGTGTCTGAGAGGGTTTTTTCCATAATTGTAACTGAGAGGGGCAAATATGCCTTACTATAGGTGACATCATCTCATTGACTAGATCACTAAATTGGCTTTGGGGGGGGGGATGCCATGCAGCACTATTATTGAACTATTTAAGTTTTCTGCATCACCCAGATATGAATAAGCCCATCTTACTTTGGAAGTCATGAGCCTCGCCTGCCGCCAAGCTTGCCCTACTATGATGGACTGTATTCTCAAATAGGAGGCATGAAAGGTCATCCCTTCCTTAAGCTGCTTCTTGCTGGAATTTGGTCAAATCAGTGAGAAATGTAACCAGAATATGGCTTTTGTAGTGCTTTTTATTTTAAGGAGGATGTTTCCTAATTGCAGTTTTAATTTGAATTCTTTCTTTTCGGTCATATGCACTAGGGTTGCTTCTTTAGTATGCTGTCTTCTTAATTCCTTCTATTTTAAAATCACTTCGCTGTTTGTGTCTTTTCTGATTTTGTTGATTTAGGATTCCTTTGCATAGCCAAAAGCAGCTGGGAGCTCACTATATAGCTCAAGGTTAGTCTTGAACTCACAACCCTCCTAACTCTAACCCTAATCCTAACTTCCCAAATTCTGGGGTTATAGAAGTACACCACCAAGATCAGCTCCTTTATGTATTAAGCATCTTAGTTTTATCTCTTGGAGCTTGCAGTGTTTTTTATCTCTTCATCTGAGAGGTTTTTAATTAATTTACGTTTGATTTGATTCTATTTTGGTTTTGTGGACTTACCCTCCACAAGGGTGTATTTGGCAATTGTAAGGTTCCTCGGTAAAGTCAATCCTGTGCTTGAGTTCTTCAGAAAGGTAGTCTGGAAACACGGAGATAACTGATTTTCCTAAATGGGGAGGAAATAAAAAAGAAATCCTAGTTGAAAGTTTACTCAAAGCCCACCAGAGAGCTCCTAAACACGCTTCACCATGAGAGGGTAAGAACAGAAAAAGTGAAATACTTCTGTTTGTCTTAATCTTGTCAGCTGCTATAACAAGAGACCATAGCCTAGCGAACTTTTAAATAACAAATGGTTTTCTTTTTCTTCCTGCTAACAGATATGGAGTCTAGAAAGTCTAATATCATGGTCTTAGCAGACTCAATGGCAGGTCATAGCCCACTTTCTTGCTTACAGAGGATATTTTTTGCTGTTTCATTTGGTGACAGAAAGGGAAGTGTTGTAATAGGCCATGGCAGTCTCTTTATTTAACCAATGAAAGCAGCACATAAAAAGAAGACCCTCCTACATCAGGGAAGCAGATCTCTTGGAACTTTTCTCGAAGGTCGTGCATCCTTTCTACAAGATCTTTGCTCTCAGAATCCATCATCAAACTGGAGATCTGGCCTCTAGATAAAACTACTTCTAGGTTAGAATTTCAACCTGAGAATTGCCAGGGCAGCAGCTGCAGCAAAGCTACACCTGGATAAACAACCCTCATTATTAAGTACAGCTCTTCTCTTTTTACTGTGCTTGGGAAAGGTCTCATCAACCATTTATTTTTATGCTTACTGGGAAAACAACGAAACTATAATTCCAAATCTCTTTTCATCCTGATGGGGCCAGGTAAAGCAGTTCTCGTCAATGAAACCGTATTGGTATGCTAACTGCTGCTAGGTCAGGGGAGTCAAAAGCATGGTTGGCCCCTCTGTGTATTCTTCCCCCCCCCATCTGTACCATTAGTTGAGGGGACTTTCATCTGTCACCACTGCCACATTGCCCTGTGACATCAGAGAGCAAAAATAAGATTTTACTTTGGCAGGGCGGTGGTGGTGCCTGCCTTTAATCCCAGCACTCAGGAGGCAGAGGCAGGTGGATCTCTATGAGCTCGAGGCTAGCCTGGTCTACAAGGGTGAGTTCCAGGACAGGTACCAAAGCTACACAGAGAAACCCTGTCTCAAAAAAAAAAATTACTTTGCTATGCCACGGAGATTTGAAGACTTATTCATTATTGCCACACAACCTAAACAAGCCGGACTATTACACTTGGCCTGCTGGGTCCATCATGATTTATTTTTGCCTGTGTCTCCAGGCTACTGTATGTGATTCACTCCCTTTTCATTATATTCCCAGCATCCCAGAATTCCTCCATGTCTTCAATAGAGTTGGTTTTTCCCACTCTGGAAAATCTGCACATGTTGTTTCTCTTAGGGGGACACACTTCATTGTACCCATTAGCTAACTTAATATTTAATTCTCAGATCATATGCCAGTTTTGTGGCAGGGCCTCCCTTGCCCTTCTTTTAAATCATGTCCTATTATTGATCTCCTCTTTCACAGAACACTACTTTTTCCCCTAATAACATTTTGTTCGATACTTAATTATGTTGGTCCGCCCAGAGTTTCTCTTTTCTCTCTAGCCAGAATGCTCTGTCTTGCTTGAAAAATAAACTGTTTATTTGTTTTGATTTTCATGACAAGGGTTTAATATAAATATTTATAAATGTGTGTTGACAATAACATTTACCTGTTGGATAATTGCACTGGTTTTTTGGAAGTTGTGTAGTTGTTAAACCCTTCGGTGAAGAACTTCTGCTGTATACTATTTTGTGAAATGTCATGTGAGATGTCTCATGAGAATGGATAATCTAATGGGATTATGGCATGCTTTGGGTGTGGTTGGAGAGTCTTGCCCAAAGGCTCACATGTCCCATGCTTATCCAGCAATGTGGGGTTGTTGTTCTTAAAAAAAATTTAAGAGAATTGGGCTTAGCAGAAACCTTCTCCTCCTAGGTTGATTGATGCTTTCCTTTTAGGAGATGCTGTCATTCTTGGAGCAAGTCTCAGGAAAGCTTTGCCTCCTGAAGTTGCCTTCAGCTCAGTCCCAGGCACCAAAACAATCTTGCTGGGATAGCCACTGTGGCCCCTCCCTGGTCTCTTGCTCTCCCAGCTGCTGACCTTCCAGTTCTCTACACAACTGCTTTCCTTTCCACTTCTCTGCCGCGGTGCGAAGCGTCACCGTGCGCACACCAACCTGTTCACATCTTCCAGCCTCAAAAATAGTGAACTAAATAGACTTCTTCTTCCACGTTGTCTTCAGGAATTTTGCTATAGCAACTCAAAATTTGCTAGAGAAGGGATTACGTAAATGAGTCTCATGAAATCTTCCCTGCAATTAGCAAATACTTTGGCTAATTATAAAAACTACACTCTTACTTCTGAAGACCTACCTGGCAGTGTCTGCTCAGCAAGTAATGGGAGAGGATGATTACTCCACACTACAGAGAGTTCCCTGAGATGAAAAGTTACATATGTGTGTGTGTGTGTGTGTGTGATGCACATATATAACACATATATATTACACATATGTGAAATGTATTTCAATGGTAAGTACGTAGCTATTGACTATTGTCTTGTATCTTGAGCAATATAAAGACAGAATTTTGGCCTGAGTCCTGTCTAGGAAATCATAAATAACAGTTAATTGATAATATTGTACATGGCCTGGATTTGTAATGTCTTCACTCCAAGCAAACATGGACGTCTCCACAATCAGTTTCAATTTTGACTGAAATTGCATTGTTCCTTTAAACATACAAAATAACACTGATTACCCAGGAAAACAAGTGTTTCTTGAAAAGATAGGCCATAGTTAATTTTTCTGATGTCAAATGACCTGTTTCTGCAAATAAAGAAAGGAGTATACTCAGTGAAATCATTCTGACATAAACCTAAAGAACTGACCAGGAAATGTACTCAACCTTGACCCATGGGGCTTATGGTTGCCTAATAACAAACAAATAAGCAAACAAACAAATGTTGATTCAAATGAAAAGAAGCCAGTAGATGTCCATCATAGTCAAACCTAGTGAGATTTGTGCATGCGAGTGTTTGTGGATGCGAGTGTGTGTGGATGCGAGCGTGTGTGACTGCATGCGTGTCTGTGAGCGTGTGTGTGTGTGTGTGTGTGTGTATGTGTGTGTGTGTGCAGGTATGAATATATGAGCTTGAATGTGAAGACTCTGTGTTAACTTTTGATGGCATTCCAATGGTTTTTTTGAGAGAGGGTCTCTCATGCCAACTATGTCTTGTCAATAGGCTAACCTGGCTAGCCCAGGCCATGAATTCTGAAATTAACTTATGTCTGCATTCCCAGTGCTGGGTTGTTAAGTATATCTCACCATGCCTAGTTTTTTTTTCTTTCTTTCTTTTTCCTTCTTTCTTCCTTCTATTTTTTTTTTTAATGTGAGGTCTAGGCATTGAAATCAGATCCTCATATTTGGCAAGAAATGTATCAATTAATTTGTGTTTCCAGTCTGCAAATCCAGTGTTTGAAGTTAATAAACACATGCAAGACTCAATAGAAATATATTCAAATCCAACCTGTTTTTAAAAGAGTAGTTTGTGTGTGTGTGTGTGTGTGTGTGTTATGTGTTTGTGTGTTAAAGACTTGCTCTTTAAACACTCCAAATCTCTCACTGAGAAGTTAAAGCAGCAGCAACAGGCAGCGGCGAAATGGCATTTGGATGCTGGGAACTGAACCTGGGTCCAGTGACAGGCAATAAGTATTCTGTTCACAGAGCCATCTCTCCAGCCTCAAGAAACGGGTATTTTTTAGAAACTGAGTATATCCAGGTTTAGACCCCAGAATTGAAACAGTGAGCTGGGTTGCCCTGAAGAACGGAAATTATTCTATCCCTCCCCCCTCATCTTCATTCCTCTCCAGGCTGTGAATACGGGGAAGACACAGATCTGAGAGGTTAGGAAAACACCATTCTGAAGAGACCAGAAGGAGCTAGGACTCCCTTCTCAGGGACCAGCTCCCTGCAAACCTGCATTTCAAACCTCTTGAAATTCTGGTCCCTGACCTCGCTCACCTTTCTGGCGCTGGGTGAGGTCTCTCCTGGAGACGATCTGACCAGACCAGAGTCCTAACACGGACCCCTCAGGGAAACACTCTCTCCAGGGTAATTGCTTCCCCGCCTCACACTCCTGACGGTTCCAATCTTACTGCTTTTTTCATCAATTTCCTTAGTACACTTAAATTTAAAAAAAAAAAAATGATAGCGTTGTTGTTCAAATACGGAGGAGGAATGGAGGAGGGGAGAGTAGGGGAGTGGCATTCTGGAGAAAAAGAACAACCCTGTCAAAACATGACAGCCGACCCGATGCCTGTTTTATACTATTCGTAGAAAATGCCAAATTCTGCAAATAGTAACCACATGTATGTTGGCTTCGCAGACTCAGGGCTCTGCAGCAAAATGAGACGTTCTTTATTTGAGTGTGTCATCAGAGGCGGTGAAAATATCATTGCCAGCCTCCAAGACTTCACCCGGGGGCGGATCTGGAAGTTAAATAGAAGCAGCACACACCTCCACGCACAAAACAGGAGCCCCAGACCCTGTGGACCCACCACACACAACGGAGGTTCCCTGGGCATTGATACTCGTAGTCAAAAGAGCATAACAGCGATTCGCTTGTTTTGCCAAAGTCAGGAGTGGGGGAACAAACAGCTTGGGGGGAACGGTGGAGGGAGTGGAGGGAGGGAAATGGCAACAATCAGACACCCGCAGGCCCAGCAGCCAGTGCTCAGATTGGGAAGGCTTTGCCTGCAGGCTTTCTGGCTGCTCCTCTCTGACTTCTCTCGATCCACCAACGCTGGCTTTTTAGCGCAAATTTGTGAGACGATTGTCCTTTCCCTGCGCCTGGCTAGGATTCCTCTGCGCCAACACTGAAAAGGGGCCAGTGCACAGAACGGAGGAAGGGATAAAAGGTTTGTCCTCAGTGGACCCAACTCGATGGCAACCAGCTGGCGCTGAGGCTTAGCTCTCTGCTCTTGTTCAGGAATGCTCGCAGTGTCTTCTAAGTGACTGTTCACTTTGAAGGGGCCTCTTGTTTATCTTCGCCTCTGACACAAATAGACTGTGTGAACTGCAGTAAATCTCCCCGGGTCTGGAAGCTCTTTGGTCCTTAGGCGTCTGAATTTTCCTCCCAAGGCTGGTTGGCGCAGCCCCCTCCTTCTCCCCCTCCCCTAACCTATGTTGCATATATTCCCGTTTGCGACAATGTTTTCCAAAGGACTCTACCAAGAGATCTCATAAGATGCGTGGAAACTTCTGTCTCCACGGAGCCTGCAGCGTGTGGGCTGGCAAGGTGTCAGGGGAAATGGCCTGGGCCTGTTCTGCTGCCCAGCTGAAGGAGATGTAATAAACAGCCCGGCTTCTGTCTGTAGCCGTCGGGACACAGGCCCCAGCTTCTCCCTTTTAATGGCAATAAATAAATGACGGAAGTTTTAGGCATCACACTAGTGAATTGGTGGCTAAGCCTCGGGCTTTTATCTCCCTGACCTCTGTTTGAACTCAACCTTGGTTCCTAAGTGCAGGGCAGACAAAGTGGGGTGGGAGGAAGGTTCCTTATCGACATGAACATCCCTTCCAGCTCAACATAAAGAAATATGATGCCCTGTGTGTTTCCCTGTGACTCGGGGGCGACAGGGGCTAAGGGAAGATTTGTAGAAACCAAGCCCAACAGAGCTAAATGCCAGCTGTTATTTCTCCGTGCCGGTCCACGGGGTGAGAATCTAGGCGAGACCACGCTGCTTTCAATAGTGTGTACCGTGTGCAGGCTATTCTAGGGCAGTGTGCATATATCACTGGGGCCAGACCTCTTTAAAAATACAAATTTGTTTCAGGAATTTGGAAAAAAAATATTTCCAACCCACATAAATTCTACCTATTGAGTCACCAATCCTGTGTATAGTCTCTGCTCAACATTTCATTTACCCCATACAGGCTTCATGAAGAGGCTTCATTGTTTTTTCCTAACATCATGAATATAAATTATTTAACGTTTTGGGAAATGGTGACATCAGAATCAAAATCTCAATCAGCTTAGCTCTGCATTGTATCACATCCCTAAGGGGAAGGGGCGACAGTCACTAAAGTATGTGCATTAAATACACCATGAACACACCTCCTTTTCCAGATCTGACTGATATGTAGCCTGGTATTTCTGATTTTGTCTGTGGAGACAACGGGGCTGCCTGAATTTAGGATTCTTTATTGTGGCCTCATGTAAAAGGACCAATGCTGCCAATGTCTCTCTGTTGTGGTGGTTTTCAAAAGACAGGAGAAAATCAAGGTGCAGAAAGAAAAGATTTTTATCTATTTCAATTTATCTATGTAATTATGCAATTCTGTGTATTACACGTGTGTGTGTGTGTGGAAATGAGGACACGTGTGTGTGACAGCACACTTCTAGAGGTCAGAGGACAACTTTTAGACCTTGATTTTCACTTGGCATCTCTCTGAGGCAGGGTCTCTCTTATTTCTGCCATGCTGCGTACTCCAGGAGCTCCTGCCCATTCTGCTGCACCCCCCATCTTCCTGTTGTCAGGCTGGAATTGCAGACATAAACCACCAGTCCCTGCTTTTTACATGGCCTCCAGGGATCAGGCCAGTTCAGTGATTACTTTCCTCTGCTGAGCTGCCTCCCTGGATTTATAGAGTCAGACTTTCTTTGGTCTGGTAGCTCCCAAATAATGACATGACCTTAATTTAGGCTTGTTCTCAATTTGCTCTTAAAAGTTCAATTAATCTGTTTATATTAATCTGTGTTCTGCCATTTGGCTTGTTGCCGCTCCTCCATACTGTATGTCCAACTTCCTCTGAGTTTCCTGGGCAAATTCCCCACCGCTTAGATTCCCTGCCCCCAGTTCCTCTCTCTCCCTGGAAGTCCCTCTTATCATTTCCTGACTAGCTATTGACCATTCAGCTCTTTATTAAACCAATCAGAAGATGCCTTAGGCAGGTAAGGAAGAACAGACACATCTCCACACATTGTAATCAAAATTAGATGTTCTGTTTCTTTGTTGTTGTTTAAGATGGGTGCTCATCTTGCACTTCCGCTAAATTCTAGGCACTTTGTCAAGGAAGATTTTCCAGTATGTTTTAAAACAGAGTGGTTTGTAATAGAGTTCTAGACTGGAGCAGAACTCATAGTTATTTTGTGGAGTTTATGATGAACAAGAAACACTGATCTCTGGAGTAGAGCACCTTTTAATACCACAGATCTGCTTTGTGGTTTAATCACTGAGACCTAGAAAGTATTTTAATTTTGTATAACTTTACTTTATACCAAGGAAAGGCGTGACCAACCAGAGTATCAGAGAATCTAATCTCATGTTCCTCAATACTATTTTGGGGCTCAGTCCACCTCCTTCGAGGCAGGCCCACTGTTTCAGGCTGCGGTTGCTTGCAGTATGAATAGCAAATCCAAAATTGGCCCGGCCATGACCCTCCCTACTTCCAGAGTGTGACATTTTTTTAATCACTTATCTGAATGTGCAAGCCTAACTATCCTCTAGGATTTCCATTTGGGCCCCTGCAATTCCCTTGTCTGAGGAATCCTATCAGCTGTGAGGTGGCATGCTGGAAAGGAAAGTCTTGTCCTTGAATGTCCCTTGCACTTCAGTTCACATCCTGAATTCTGCCTCTACTGTATCCTATGTCGGTGTTTGTCCTTTGCCAAGTTGTCTAAACTCAGAAATCCCAATTCCCTCATCTCACAGGGCGTGGAAACATTGGAATCACAGTTATCTTACCAGGTGACATGAATAAACTTGTTTGTCGTGGGTACAAGTTAAATTAGATCCTACAGATTGACATTTTCTTTTCTTTTATGTTTTCCATTTCTGCCATGAAGGAGATGCAAAACCTTTATTTTATGTACGATTTGCACCAGAAATCATGAACTTAGCAATCACATTGCCAATGAACAGAATGAAAGAATTCTCAGGTAAATCCCACCTCAGACAAGCGCTCATTTCTAAGCCCAACACTGACACTGATCTCATTGTCTTGTTTTCTCCTGCTCAGATTTAAATGGTGTGCCAATTAATCTACCTCTTTCCTAGGAGAGAAGAATAAAAAAAATCAATGGTTCTCTTACTTTCTGGAAGTTTCTGAACAGTTCTTTATCTTCCCGCACCAATAAAGTATATGATTGGGAGTTGGATAGAAGGCTCAGTGGTGAAGAGCACTTGCTACTCTTCCAGGGCACCCCAGTTTGCTCCCAGCACCCATGGAGGGGGAGCCTTAGTACTTCCTCTAACTCCAGTTCTAAGAGACTCAATATTCTCTTTTGACTTCAGTGAGCACATGCCAGGCACATGCATGTTATGCACACATCATCGTACACTAACATAAATGCTATCATACAATATACTTAAATCTTAAAATAAATCTTAAGGATGTGATTAATTTAAGGGACACATTACTTTAAAAGATTTCACTGAATAATGACAAGTGAAATAATTACACTGAAAGTTTGGAAGAGTCTGGGGCTATGACAATGATTATTTTGAGTAAATGTGTGTCACCATCCTGTATGACAAAGTAAGGATCTATTCTGCAGGATTGCTCTGTGTGAGGAAACCAAGACTTTGAGGGTGAGTCTAAAAAGTAGACATGCTGGAAGCACAAACTCAATCTACAAAATGTCAGCTAGAAAAGCTCATGAAACATCCTAGACTGTAGAGGAACAATGATCACTGTAATTTATTATTGGACAAATTGTAAACGTCTAATAAAAATAACTCGATTATGGGCATTCTTACTTCAAGATTTAAACAAATGTCCAACCAGAAATTTTTCAGTTGAGTTTGAACATACTCCCCCATTTTTCTGTCAATATAGTTTCATGCTTATTTCCTTGAAAACCCATTTAGAGTATTTTAAACAATGTTTGACACGCTTCCCTCCAATATGAAAGGAAAGAACACGCATGCATCATGAAGTTGCTAAGAGGACTCAAGACTGGCTGCTGCCCATTGTGCAAGATGATATTTAACAGTCGGAAACCAATGAAGGTATGGGTTCTTAACTATGGGCCTCCATGCCAACAGTCGAAGTCCCACTTCTTCACTGCGCCAACTGGACAGCAACAGGGTAACCCAGTGAATGGGGTTCTTTGAACCCTTTCACAATGAGGAGCTGTCAAGGGTGACAAGTAGGTCC